TCATACTCAGTCAGTTTGACATTCTTCACTCCTATTTGCTTCATCAGCTTCTCAGCCTGGGGGGAAGCAAACACCAAGAAAATCCAGGGAAAGGAACGGAAATGCTTCGCTCAAAAATTAGCTTTTATAAAGAACTGCTGTTTTTGGTTTGAAAAGCTTCCCCTTAAGAGCTCAGATTTTGTTTTAAGGTTCTGCTGTTTCCTAATGACTTTTTTGTCACTTGAGTGAAACCCAGTCAGACRTCTCAGTTCCCACCAAACAAATGTTGGGGCCCTCACGTGCTCAAACCCACAACTCATCTCTTATGACCTAAAAATAACCAAACCAAACCTTAAAGCACAGAATGTGCCCCCCAAGCCTCCACAGCACTTGGAGAGATCCATGTGTTTTTACATGAATCAAGGGGAGATTAATGTATTTTTAAATACCCAGAAGCCAGGCAATTTCTCATATGTATTCAGTGGGTCTTCCCACATTTACCAGGAAAAGTCATCCATTGGGTCAACATACTTACACAATTCAGTTTCTACTCAAACTTGCAGTAAATCCAACAAGGTTTTGGGATAGTGCAGCCTCTTAGATTTCCATTGGGAAAGCTGGTTYTCAACTAAAAAGCTCATTACAGAAGGAAAACCACCCAACACAGATTTACGTCACTCAAAACCAGGGAAATTCTTGTCAGTCAGAAACCAAACAAAAAAAGCTGACACATTTCCAAAGCAAACCTTTAACTTTTGGTTCTGAACTGCCCCTAGAGCTTCTCCCAGAGCACAAATTGCTCTAGTTCAAGATAAGGAACAAGGCTTTCCATTTTTTCCCTCCCCTTCCCAGGGGATTTTGACTACTGGTGGAGGTCCCTGCCATTAAGCTGCCAGAAATGCAGAGCTTTTAAGTTATGTTTTAAGTTAAGAATTAAGTTATTCTTAAAAAAAAAAAAAAAGTAAATTCTCTGCTCAGGGCTTTCAAAAGCAACCAAAAGGCTGATGATTTAAGGCCACTGCTGGCTCAGCAAAGTTGTCAGAGGCAGAAAAGGCACCGGGCCCATTTACTCAGTGAAAATCAGAGCCAACACCAGCCTCCAGACCAACAGTTTTGCCACCACTTCAGGCTAGAAATTGTAATTAGTTACAAAATTGTCATTTGTTATAAATTTCAATTTGTTGTAAAACACAACCACTGAAAAGACCAACAGCCTAAAAACCCCGAGACCGACTAAAAAACTTCAGCTTCCCACCAGCACATTGCTCAATATGGCACAGAAATACCACAGAATGGAATCCCACCTGCTTCTGAGCTTCCACTTTCTGCTTCCTGGTGGGATCTATGGCATCCACCATCCATTTGATGGTGAAATAGGTGACGGCCCCAAAGATGGTCAGACGGAAGATCAGCCCCACCACCTCGTTCCGGCTGAGGGGCCGCGAGAACGCCTCGGTGTGGACCATCCTCCTTCTCARCTCTGAGGGGGAAAAGGGAAGCACAAGAAGGGACAGAAAGGATGAAAATTAAGAGTGGAAAAAACATCAGCCTTGGGTTTAAACATTGTCTGATAAAAGCTGCTTCCCAGGGATTTTGGACAAGGGCCTGGAGTGCCAGGACATAGGGAATGGGGTCACACTGCCAGAGGGCAGGGCCAGATGGGATATTGGGAATTGGGAATTGTTCCCTGGGAGGGTGGGCAGGCCCTGGCACAGGGTGCCCAGAGAAGCTGTGGCTGYCCCTGGATCCCTGGCAGTGCCCAAGGCCTGGAGCAACCTGGGGTGGTGGAAGGTGTCCCTGCCCTGGCAGCTGGGGGAACTTTAAGGTCCCTTCCCACCCAAACCTTTCTGGGATTCTGTGTTCACAGTGACACTCCCATTTTGGTACTAMTWCTGACCCAAGAATCCTGAATCCTGGAGCCAGGGAGCTCCACTATTGAACCAGAGAAGTCTTTTCCCTAAGAGGATGTTGACGGGAAAGGCCCCCGACTGCCACATTAAGGAGCAATCAACAACTTCTATTTGATTAAAACGAGGTTAAGAGCTGGAGCCTGCAGCTGRCAGGATGTATGGTGAGTTATTAATATCCCTGGAAACCTGAAAATGCTGGATGTGGCACACAGCTATCCAGGGAAAAGCCTAACTGCTGCATGAGCCAAGGCCAGAGAGCTCAGCACCCTTAACCTTGGGGACAAAAGGCACCACTGGAAAAACGACTTGAAAAATCAGGACCCACTTCCTCCTCAGGTGGTGGGGAGGATCTGCTCGAGAATCCTCACATTGTGCACTGCCCCATTTTCCTGCTGCAAGGGCAAAACCAGCAGCAATTCCTCTGGCAGTTCCTGACACTTCCTGGCCACTCTCCAAACCATGCTGGCAGCCAGGGCAGTGCTGGAGCACCCACAGCTAAATTATCCCTGGATTMCCCCTTTTTTTGGATTTACTAATCAATAATCTTACATGAAATCCCCCTTCCTAACCCAAGAGGAATAACCCTGGATTGAAAATAAGACATGAATAAAGTACAAGAAAGCCTTAYACCAGCTCTCAAGCCAAAGTGCTGTTGAATTTCCTGCTATGTCCTAAGAGAGTATTTTTACCTTGCCTTAAAAATGCAAAGAGAAAAAAACTACTTGGGATAATACAGCTAAGTTTAAAAGAGAATTAATTTCATCTTTTAGTCACACCGACAATAAAATCACAATTTCTATTTTGTGCCAAGATTAAACTACAACAGTGCTATAATCTGTCTCCTGGAAAACTGAGCGTAGCCCACATGTGAGGATTTGTTTACATGAGAACCTTTTGTATGAAAATTTTATGTGTTAATTTTGTACAGAATTATCCAGTGAAATATGAATATTAGCTATGTGTGGATGTAGTCGAAAACTCACATCCTCAACAAATCCATTTAAAATATCCCTCTATAAAATTTTTAAAAAATGAAAACTCACTGTATAATTCTACAGCTCCTTTCAAATAATTTTGAACCAACAAAAGAAATAACATAGTTATATCCCCCACACCCATTACCCATTAAAAACACTGATTCCTGGGATCCACAGGGTGGGGGTACTAACTAATGAAAATTGAATTAATAATTGCAGTTGAATCTATATTTTGARCTATTGCACACGGTATGATTAGACACGTTATTGCTTCTGCTATTTCCATCTTTCCTTCTATTGCCTTTCTTCATCACCTCCGTGGACAACCCATAAACTGAAGAAGATCGCTAGGAAAGAGAAATTTATTACAGTGTTTSAGGCACCAGCTGGCTGTCAGAGACTGAAATAATTCATGCCTCAAACATTGATAAGCTACAACCAAAAAGAGGCTTCCCCGAAGATACCAGACTAGGTATCTATTGCCAGGATATCTATTGTTCAGTCACCTCAGGCCGAGGGACAGGAATGCATCCACACAAAAGCAGCAGAGATTCCACCCTGGCTGGATTTGGGGTGGGAGAGGCCACAGCTCACAGCCACACACTGTCCCCCCCTTATCCCGAAACACCGTTGGGATCCACGGATGGTGATATTTTCCTTATTCTGTCTCTGTCCCCCCCACCTCTTTTCTTACTTCTCCCTTTCTCTCTTTTCCCCTCTCTCCCTCTCATATTTGCTATCAAATAAAATCCATGCTATTGACTAGCACATGGTCTCGTTTGCACTTTAATTCGAGCAGAGGTATTTCTAAGAACTTTTAAYTGGATCATAACACCKCTCCCCAGGGCAGAGCTGGAGCACCCACAGTTAAATTATCCCTGGATTCCTTCTTCCTGTAAYGCCAAGCCCGTGTTCCACTCAAGACACTGCCAACACCACTGACTCTGGAATGTGGAACTCCAAGGAGGCTGGAATCAGCAGAAGCACCACTCCACGCTGACCAGCAGCCATCAACACCTCCCTGCTGTATCTCAGCTCAGATCACTGAAACCGCTGCGTTTGGAGGGTTTTTAACTCTTCATTCCCTGYTGAGGCTGTTAAAAATCCAGTCTGTCGCTGCCTGGAAACCAAATGGCATGTGCCTGCACAGGAATCTAAGCAAATACTACAGAGCTGGAAGATTCTGTGTTTATTAAAATAAAAGGGCTCGGTAGTTACCGAACAAGGAAAACCCAATGCAGAAACCTTCTTATGCAACCCTGAGCATGCCCTGAGCATCAACCGTAAGGAAAAGCTTGAACAGGAGAGAAATTACCGCTTAACCTCCCTGAGCTAAGCCCTGATAACACACGAACGCTAAATCGCGCAGGAATTCAGCGTTTCTTTTCCCCGAGGCGACGACACTTCACTCGGGGCCCGCTGCGGCTCCGCTCTGCCCGTACCTGCGCTAAAGGGAAACTAAAAGCGGCCGCGGCGCCGGTTTCTGTTCCGCTCCGAGGGCAAACTGAGACCCTGCCGGGGAAGCCCGGCCTGCCCCGGGCCTGGGGCTCGCCCGGTGCCGGGCAGCGCCGTCACGGCTGCTCCGGGCAGGGCCGGGCCGCGCCGCCGTGACCTTCCCGCCGCCCGCCAGGTGCCACGGTGCGGCCGCCCTGCCGCTGTCCCCCCGGGTCACTCACCGTGCGGCGGCTCTGCGGGACACGGGGCGGGACCAGGAGGACAAGGAGGAGGAGGAGGAGGAGGAAGGAGAGGAGGAGAAAGAGGAGGAGGAGGAAGCGGAGCAAAAGCCGGCGGCGGCACCGAGGGCCCGGCAGCGGCGCGTCCGACGCTTCCTCTGTCCGTGCGCCTCCCGCTGCCCCACGCGAAGGTTCCGGCCGGCAGCGCCCCGCGCGAAGGTTCCGCCCCGCGGCTGAGCGGCGGCTCCAGCCTGGAAATGGCTCGGGATGAGCCCGGGATGAGCCCGGGATGGGCCGGGATGAGCCCGGGATCGGCCGGAATCAGCGGCAGAAGAACGGAACGGCTCTGCGAGGCTTCCCCGACACACTCCGGGGCACAGCTCCGCAGGGACAGCGTGTAAGGACAACAGCAACTCCGCTCTCTCACCACCAACATATCAAATACATATATGTACATCTATATATAAACTTACACAACGTGTTAACAGAAATAGAAAATAGTACATGTAACATATAAGACAAGCATATATACACACGTATTTTGCACAGATGTATATATAATTTATATATACATAGATATGTATAACCTATATAAAACCTGTCTAACACATACACGTAGTAAAAGAAGAATGTCCAGRAAAAAGGTTAAAATGACAGGATCTCTGTAATAGCTGTAATTAACTCAAAATTTTGGCAATTTCAGTTCAGCCCTTCTGCTCTTGCGCCAAGGTTTTCCAGCGACAGGACAAGATGAAAYGGCCTCAAGCTGTGCCAGGGGAGGTTCAGATGGGACATCAGCAGGAATTTCTTCATGGAAGAAACGATTTAGGTTTGATCAGGCAAGTAATCCCTTTCGTGCTGCTCCTCCAGTCTTTGATGGTAAATAAGATTATAAGCGTCTGGACGATTTTGTTTTCCAGTTCATGTGGACCACTGTGTTCATTCACTCCTGGAGGAAAATATTTCGGACCCTTCTGGTTTTCTTTCCACTCCTGAAAAAAATGTGACATGTTTTGCTGCAGTTAAGGAGAAATGCAAACACACATGAGGAAAAGCAATTCAAAACCTACATTTTGTCATGCTGTGGTGGCAACCTTTGACAAAAAATTGAAAAATACTTTAAAAGATGTGGAGAGATGCAATTTTTCAGCAGCCAAGTAGGGTTGTGGTGATGCAGGTGTGGGTTGGATCGGGTTCAAATTTATCGAAATATTGAGGGATTATGATCAGGATTATGACCAATTCCTCCTTTCCAGAGTTCACATRGGCTTTCAATTTATAGCTTCAGTGAAATGGACTCAAAACTGGGAATCGTGGGTTTATCTTGGGGGAAAAGGGTGTTTGTGGCAGCTCTGTCCCCAAGCACTTGGATCACAGGGAACACTTCCCGCCGAAGGATAGATCCAGAAAGTGGGAACACAAGTTAAAAATCAGACACGGAATGAGCCTGGATGGGTAGGAACCCCAATCCATCTCATTCCATGGCAGGGACACYTTCCACTATCCCAGGCTGCTCCAAGCCCCAGGGTCCAATCTGRCCTTGGACACYTCCARGGATCCACRGGCAGCCACAATTTTCTCAGTTTTGGGAAGGAGGAAAGGGGGAGTGTGGAAATTGAGGGGAGCTCAGCGCAGTCCAGCAGTGCCCAAGAGGACCTTTGTGCTTGGGAGAGCACAAAGTGCTATTTGAGGCCAGTGTTGGCACAAGAATAAATGGATGCAGACCAGTCCCAAATATATTTAGCCTGAAAACTGGGAGAAGGTTCTGGGAACAGCTCCCCAGTGGGAATAATGGTGGCAAAAGATCTTCAGATGCAACTTGATACGTTTCTGAAAGGAATTATATAATACAGCATTTGCAAAGGCTGGAGGCTGCAGCAGCCCGGGAAATCCCTCCACCTGATGTTCCAGTTTATTTTGAGCCCTTAAAGGCAAAGCAGAGCTTTTTGCCCCCACTCCCTGCTCCTCTTTCTGTTCCAGCCATCCAGCACCTCTCAGAAGTGTTTTTAGGGATTGATCAAGACACTGCAACAATAATTTATTTATTATTTACATTCATTATTCATATACAAATTGTCTTCAGCAAGATGTCTTTCCCTGACAGCCCCAAAAACATTTGAGGTGGATTTATGGATAAACCCCAGGATCTGTTTTGTAGGGGGATACCTGTTTGCTTTATATCACCTGCTTTTCATGGGGAGAAGAGGAAAAGGGACACATAGATTCCCCTCATGCTCTCAGGCTGGTCTTTTCCAAGGCACCTCTCTTCTTGTTGCATAGTAGATGCTGATCTCCAACAGATTCCATTCCTGAAGCTTTACAGAAGCCCTACATTTCAAGCTGCCTTAAAATCCTAGGTTTTGTTACCTCACTAATCTAGTATCTCACCTCTCTGCACAGAAAAGGAAAAAAAAATCACAAAAAAGATCCCTAAAAAACTTACCAAACAAGGAGGATGGAAACTGATAGCAGTGCTTCTATCCAGGAGCTCAGACTGTACCAGGCTACCCGATGGTCATTTTCCTGCAAAACATTAACACTGCTAATTCCYAAAAAGTTACAGGAGTTCGCAGTTTAAAGAGCCTTGTACAATGGTGTTTATCCCCTAACTTTTTAAAGGGTTATAAAGGCCGATTTTGAGATTCATAGACACCACTTTCTCTCTGCCAGGAAAATTGTGATCAGTCTGGCAAGGGGGATGGAGTGGGACAGAAAGCCTCAAGGAAATGTCATGTGCTGCTGAGCCAGTTGGCCTGACCTGGARGGACTGTCATATCCCTGTCCCCGAGCACAKCAGCAGGAATTTCTGCATGGAAAGGGTGCTCAGGCCTTGGCAGGGGCTGCCCAGGGAGCTTTGGAGTGCCCATCCCTGGAGGTGTCCAAGGAAGGGCTGGAGGTGGCACTCAGAGCTCTGGGTCAGAGAAAAGGTGGGCATCGGGCACAGGGTGGACTCGATGATCCTGGAGGGCTTTTCCCCCCTCAATAATTCTGTAATTCCATGGGCAGCAGGTAGCTGAAACCCCCCTTCACTCCGTGCCCCGTGGCTGCAGTGGGCGACAGGGGCTCGCTCACCGCGGCCTCTCCGCTTCACGCCAGTCCTCGGGAGGACCACGAAGCCCGTTGAGCTGACACCCTCCCCCCTTTCCCTTTCCCCGCGGAGCCGCACCGAGCCCGTTCTTCCCCTTGCCTTCTCCCCGCCCAGCTGTGCTGTGGAAGGAGGCGAGAGGAGCGGGAGCAGCCCCGGGGGCTCTGTGGTGCTCAGGGGGCTCTGTGGGGCTCAGGGGCCCCGAGGCCGCCCCGGCCCCTCACGGCCCCTCACGGCCCCTCACGGCCACTTCCGCCCGCGGGGGAGGCGCCGCCGCGAGCGCCCACGTGACCTGGTACAGCACCACTGCCGCTTCACTTTACCGCCAGTATCCCTCCGCCCGCCGCCACCTTCCGCCCTCTCTCCCTCCGGGGATCGAGGTGGGGCTGTGGGGCGAAGGAGTACGGGCGGCGCGCGCAGTGCGAGCCGGTCTCCCGGTACCCTCGGCCCGCCGCTTCAGCGCTTCTCCGGTGGCGGGGTGGGAGGAACTACTTTGTGTGTTGGCGGATGCGTCGCGTGGGCGTGGCGGCGCCGCCCGCCGTCCCTCTCGGAAGCCGCGGCCATGATGGGCGCCCCGCGCCGGCGAGCGCTGCGGGCCGGGGGATGAGCGCGGCCGTGCCGCCCTGAGGAGCCGCCGC